GTCTTTGTAGTGATACCCGGTCTGCCGCTAACTGGCAAAACAGTTCTTCTGCTATAGAGCTAGAACACCTTCTTTCTGTCATCTTATTTAGGAAAGTAAAAATTAGAGCTCCCAGCCCACACTCATCCCAGACCAAAGTATTTGGAGTGAAACTAATTTGAAACAGATATGTGTCGCCACCAAGTGCTTTGAGATGTCTTGCCCAATTAAAAGCGCATTCTTCCACTCCCTGTTCGTTTAATGAGCAAATTCATATATTGCTTCGCATGTGGTACAGTGACCACCTTTGCCAAAATTTTAGCAGTGTATAATGTTTTGTGGCTGGTTCAGGCATAGTAATTATGCTAAATAAAGGAAGGTGAATATGGAGATATAGAATGTTAAGAAAACTATAATGGAAATGTAATAAAACGAAATAGTTTATTAGTGCAGAGGTTACATTGAATCAACTGATGACTGCTGCTAGGAAAGTTGGTTTATTCTTTCATGCTCGACATTTTTTTTCTCGCCATAATCTGTCTTACAGAATTATAAGTCTATCATTCGGCAATGTTTTGAATATTGCTGCCAGATATGGTCTGGTGTTCGTGTTATATATTTAGATATTTCTGATAAAATCCAAAGTATAATCTGTAATGTTATTAGTTCTAACCTTGCATTTCAGCTTCAGTCACTTTCCCCACGTCGTAATTTAGCATCGTCGTGCCTTTTCTATAAATACTTTCATGGTAATTCTTCTAATGAACTTTTTTCCTCTGTGGTACCTAGACTCTATGAATTTAAGCGCAACGCTAGATTGGTGGCAAGGTCCAATCATTTCACAGCTTAAATGGCTAGATGTAACCGTAAGTTCTATGTTAACCTTTTCTTCTCAAGCACTTCTCGCTTGTGAAACTTTCTTCTGTCTTCTTACATTCCAGTCAATTTTGAAGTTCAGAAATTTAAATGCTTTGTCAATCGTTATTTTCTGCCTTCCTAATTCCTGATCTTTTATTGTTCTCGTTCTTTAATAATTTTTTCTTTTATTCTTTCACACCCAGTAACCCCAACTCCTGCGTCCTAGTGTCTTGGTTGGGGTGAAATGATTTAAACAAACTATAGATCGAATTCATCTCGTGCTTACACTCACTGTATGTTCGTTATTTTAATATTTAGAGAACACTCTACAATAGATGCTAAAGGTTGACGAGTATAATCTGGGTGACCATTATTACTTAGTAATGGATTCGATATTCACTGGGTGCCAGTATAATAATTCGATATTGTAACATACAGAAGCTGACAAGTCGGAAGATCCACAAACCAAGCCTAACCAATTTAAATAAAGAGACATTGGGACGTGGTGTGGGGAATGTCTGTTCTGAAAAATTAATATTTGAAATCCTCGGAGGCAAAAAGAAATAATGGAGGATGCAAAAGAAGACTGCAACTTTTCTCAAAAGAAATTCGGGAGCTGTTAGAATAGAATATACAGTGTAACCCGGATATAAGAGACCCGGATATAAGAGAAAACCGGATTTAAGAGAAAACCGGATATAAGAGAGATTTTCTCCGGTCCCAAATTAGAGCCTGTGTTAATGTATATAAAACAGACCAAACCCGGATATAAGAGACTTCTTCTCCGGTCCCGACAACCCTCTTATATCCGGGTTACACTGTAACAACGACTGGATCCCAGATTGTGAAAATCCAAAAAATAAAAACTGCGCTTGTCAATCTTTAGAAGAAAAAAAAAAAAGACTGATAGACAAAAACGAAACAGGCGGGAATTATAATACAGTGTAACCCGGATTGAAGAAACCCGAATATAAGAGAAACCCGGATATAAGAGAGATTTTCTCTGGTCCCAATTTAGAGCCCAACTTACCTAAACAAAATAGACCAAACCCGGATATAAGAGACTTCTTCTCCGGTCCCGACAACTCTCTTATATCCGGGTTACACTGTAGAAATGTCTATTAATGAAAATAATCACAACTCGTCGAGCCTCGCAAAAAATACGGCTGGCATCCTACGAGCTTTTTGTTTTTTTTTACGTTCAGTTGATAATTAACTGAACGTAAATCGGTGCTCCCAGGCACACTAATGCGCCCAGAAATGTTGCCAGAGGTGCCCCAAGTTAACAGAAGAGTAATTTATTAATTATTTTTATATCTGAAAAATTAAAAAAAAAAAAAAATGCTTGAGACGCCAAGAATATGGCTTCCATGTCTAAGTTAAGTCTTTGTCATTTTTGTATTTTAAACTGGATGCTGAATTCTTTAATCTTTAAGGCGTGGGTAATCATTTCCCTTTTGCCTTCCTCGACGGATTTAAATCAGTCAGTATCGATCTATCCAAACAGACAAATAGAAAACTGTACAGCTTAAATATACGATGTGTTGTAAAAATAAATTCTTATTCTCAGATTTTATGACATTTTTTCTTATTAAAATATAAATATAATAATCGCGCTCTGAATGAAAAAATGGTAGAGAAACACTTTTATTGCCATCTCTGG